AACTGAAAGGAAAAACAAACAGCATTTCAGCCCAAACGGATCAATCACAGGTGTAGCCGAACAACTGCACTCTATTACTGATCACTGTTCCCCAGAATCACTGTTCCCAAAATACTGAATCAAATACCCACAGATATAACTGATTCTCAACAACACTGATGCCCTCAGGTCTGATACTCAAACATGCGAATTGATATGTGTGTTCCCCTGCATAGATACACACTAAAACACATAGAAAGTAAAGAGAGCCAAAACACCCCTATAGAGGGGTAGGGTTTCCCTGTCCTATTTTGTCAGGAGCTAGGGTTTCACTACGCACGCAGCAGTTGAATGCCTGTGGGTGGAGGTCAAACTGCTTAAATTGGGATACCTGTCCTAATTTGGAATGGTCACTATGGATTCCGATATGCACTAGGTCGAATGGTCGAAAATGGTGCCCCAGTAAAACCGGGTTTTGTGTTCCCATACTGTCAGAGCCCATAACCGGTCAGCCTTATGGTCATGCCTTTTGACAAGACAAGCCTCCAGTAAACCGTTCGGGAATGGCAGATGGCAAACACGGTGTCCTAGGCGCACCAATGCACATGCAATGCAAAGAAACACATAAGCGAAATCAAAACAGGATATCATGAGTTCAAGTCAAGCTCTCCAAACTCCCCAGCGGAGTCGCCAGAAACTGTAACACGTCCGCGAGGGACCTTCGTGCTACAGTTCGGACTCGATTTTGTGTCATGGTTCTTAATCTGAACCAAAGAGTCCAAATCCGGCAAATCGTTTTGAGAAAACAGATTTTTAGAAAAGAAGTGCCAAACATGGACTGCTTTGTCAGATACAGAGTCGCCACCTAAATATTTTTTAAGGGGGAATTTAGGAAACCCTGACTCGGTGCCAAAAGCCACGTGTTCGTCATCACCAAAGTTGCCTCGGCTCGGGAGCTAGGGTGCGATTGGGGAAGGTCAGCTATGAGCAGCCCCTCTCGCCCGATCCGAAGATCGGCCTCTACTAACCGTGATATCCGTTTTTGAAAACGTTATGTGTTCTTATCCCGATTATTAGCCTAGAATTACTATGTTATGCGCACAGCACAAAAGTATAGACTAGATTGCCTAATTTGGGAATAAGCATTGCATATCCGTTTGTTTTGGAAAAATGTTTTGGAATTTGCTACTCGCAAGTAGGCTAAAACAAGGATTTCAATGAGCTATTCCAACTCAGACAATCCAACCTTCACCCACAGGCATTCAAGCAGTTATATCACATAAACAGCTAGCCTCATGGTAATCATGCTATCATGGCAACACTCACACGCATGCAAGGATGCTAAAGCATAACTACTTACATCGTACTCCGTGCCAGAACAAAGAACTCGTTAGCAATTAATGCATGATCCAAGTCCATGTTTAAATGTCTAATGCAACGCATACGGAATGTCACTAGAGTAGGCTCGGCTAGTCTATGAATGACATGTGAAAATGTATTCAAGTTAGATTTGAAATACTAATGCAGTTAGTATGATGCGCCGAGCCCGGTGCATGCAATACTGATGAATGATGCACGCATGCATAGCATAAGGTATGCTAAATTAAACATGACCTATTACTAACCATCAAAGCAGGTAAGTAAAAGGGAGAAAGAAGTGGGGGTTGGAAGACATGCACACACTACACCCACACTTATTACAGTTAACCCTCACTCGGAGGGATCGAAAGATTAATACAATTTAACTAACTAACAAGCTAATTAAATAGTTACAGACCACTTAACTAGTTAAGCAAATTAACTAAGCCCTCGCTCGGAGGGACCAAAAGAATAATACAATATAATCAAGACTAGAACTATCCTAGCTAATTAATTATTACAGACCAACTAAATTATTTAATTTAAGAAAGCAAGAAAAAGGGCCTCCGGAAGAGGGCTCAATGCACGCGTGCTCGGGTCTTGCTCGGAAGTCCACTGCCATGCGTAGGCTACCTCTGTTTTCCCTGCTCTGCCCCTCTGAAAACTGCAAAAGTCTCAGAATTGCTTCCCTGGACATTGAGAGATACCACCGGCTGAGGAGAATGGCCACCGGCAGTAAGATGTGATCATTGGCTATTGATGAAGCTATCTGCCACGGATTTATGGTCGATCGGCACTGAACACTGCCGGTCGGCCAAGAATGTCTGCAGAACCTGCAATTGACAGCAGCAGAGGGCAAGGCACAGCATGGCAATGCATTTCAAGCAATGTATGCACCGACCATAGCCCTTATCATGTTTATGACTCAAAGGGACATGGTCCTTGGTTCTCGGACCATCAAGCGCGCATTTCAATGCGTGATAGCCCAAGAGACCAAGTTGTGCATTTTTCATTTCAAATGTAATGCAATGCACATAGTCAAACCAAGGGGGCTTCTACCTCTATCATGACTCACTTCAAGAGGTGAGGCAATGCATGCACAATGCAATGCAACCTAGGCATGCGAGCTAAGGATGCAACATGGCAATGTCATGTGTACATGCAAGTATGCAAGCAACCATGCGAGGTAAGCATGCAAACAAGCAAAGAGATGGACTTAAACATGATTAGGCAATTCTCAAACAAGCCTAAATCAGTGGCCAAAGTGCTCAAACATGGAAGCCAACACACGCACACACATGCACATGTTAAAGGGCGAGTACTTAAGCACAAAAGGGAAACTCTCAAGCACACTTGAAAGAGGCATAACATGGACAATTGGCATGTAAATTAAGCTTTGAAAATCATGCAAGAACATGGTGCCAAACCAACCCAAACAATGCAATCAAGGTATGCAAGCAAAGTCCAAGATTCAAAGCAAGCTAAAGGGGTATTGAACCACACTTAACAAGACCAAACACGGCATGAATTCAATGACCCAAAACAGAGTTTTAGCACATAAAACAAAGCCCAAAATATTACTTAGATGGCACCTAAATGACTTGAATTCAAAAGCATGCACAATGACCAAAACATAGAGCATGCAGCACAAGCCTTTGACACATCAAAGGGACCATGAAATGCAAGCATACAAGCATACTAAGTGGACTGAAATGACATGGAAAATGGTCCCAACCCACTAAATCAAAGCAAGTAATGCATGCTATACACTCACACCCTTAAGGCCAACAAGCCAAAAATGCAAAGGGGCTATACAATGCATGCCAAAGTCGACCCAAACAACTAAAGACAGACCTTAATCATGGCAAAATAAACATGAAAGCTTCACAAAGCCAAGCCTAAAACATGCTAGAACAATGGTTTACAACCTAAGGCATGTTAAGGCAACAAAATGGCATTACAAGGCATGTATGCTAAGCAAGCATGGTGTACCAAAACCAACTAAAAACAGAGGCATATTATGACATAATAAGCACAAAAATCAGCTAAGGCATGGTCAACAAGAGCCTAAGCTAGGTGCTCCCTCAAGAGGCAAAAATGGTCATTTTCAAGGACAACAAGAAGAGGGGCTCCTCCCTAGGACCTCAAGGCACCATCCCCACCTCTGAAATCCCTCAAGATTTCAGTAGTGAGGAGGCCCAAACACCAAAGTCCCGGAGCTCACACAAAATAGCACAAAACAAGGGCCAAACAAAGCTTAAGAGGGGTCAAACAAACCCAAAGCTTAAAACACTCTAAACAAACTATTTAGAGGGCTAAAAAAACAGAACTTTTATGTATTATATGCAAAGCCAAAAACAATGAAGATAGGTAAAAGTAGTGTGCAAAAATGCGGTAAAAAGAGACTAGTTTCTTACCTTGAAGTCCTCCTTCGCAAATGATGATCTTGTTGCCTCCTTGAGCTCAAATCCAGTCAAGAACACCAAGAACAACCCTCTGGTCCCTCAATAACCAGAGAAGGTGTGACACTATGTTTGTTAGGCAATAGTATGGACAAACACACACTAGACACACACAAGAGAGAGATATAGAGATGGGAAATATGTATCAACCCTAACCCTAATCCAGAGCTCCCTCTGAAATTTTTTTGTAACCCTAATTCCAAGAGAGGAAGCCTCTTCTTATAGGCAACTCCCTCTTGTAAGGATTCCAAAACAAGCCATCCAAGAGGGAAATCCCTCCATACACGTGTATGGTGGGGAACAGAGTGGGTGCCAGCTATCACAGCTGGCACAAAAATATCTACTAAAAGTAGATGAACAGTGATCGGCCATCCAAAATTGCCATTTTTGACAAAAATAATGGCCCGATCGGCAACAAAGAATGCCGATCGGCAATATATATTGCTGATGGCATAAAATCACTTGGCCGGTGATTTGTGGGGATGCCTCACAAGGCATTCCCTGCCCCTCCAAGGCAAAACACAAGTGTTTGGTGCAAAACCAGACACAACACGGTCGAGTCGAGAGATCCTGAGGCAAGGCGCGCAACCGAGACCTCCGGGAACTCAAGACGAACACAAACAAGGGTAATCACCAAGTGTTCCAATGGTGACATCCAAGTCTTGAGGACGGTCAAAAATGGGGTGTCTACAAGTATATGTATTCTATGACAACTACCAAGTGGCCTCCCACCTTGGGCAATGCTAAAAGGAAACTTGGCAGCACCTGAGCTCCATGAAACCATCTTGAACAACAAGCAAGCAACCCTATATATACTACATGAACTTCACATTGAAGGTGACTGAACTAATCCCAGCTGAACATCACTTACTTACAAATTCAACTCTCTACACTTCTTCTTCGATCACTGATTCCCACACCGAAGGGGTTACCCGGCCAACCCCGGCCGGGCAGCTCTTACGGTGCTTCTTGTGGCAGCAACCTCAATCCTTAGATAGTCCAACCGAGTGTAGAGCCCCGATCCACTTTCATCTAGTGCGGAATTCGGTACACACACCGTCGAACTTGTTTAACCGCTACACCCCATTACAGAATGGGAACCAGTTGGTTCTTCGACGAACTTTATTCATAGCGATATACCGATGGGCATCCAAAATAATGGTTCCATTTTACGTTACGAACGAACCTAACGGCCGGTCTTTAGAACCTTGGTGTTGAGTCCTTGTGGTTAACTTGTTTGATGAGATCTTCAATCAACAATCTCATATTCAAGTATGAAGAACCCCTACTTCCATTGCCCTCTTTGCCATCCCCCCGAGTTCTCTTGCCCTTCTCCTTCTCTCCTCTATCTATTCCTTCACCCATTACTTTCCCACCAACTTCCCTAATTACATCTATTTCTACCAACTCCCCACAGTTCTCTTCTGTAATTAGGTGACCAACCACCTGAACCCCAATGCTCACTCCAATCTCCAAAACCTGCACAACCAACTTCTCATTCAAAAATTGCTCAGAGAACGTTGGCCAAGTTATCATCGGTATACCAACACACACCCATTTTAGGGTCAAATTCCACCCACAGTGTGTCAAAAATGCCCCCAACAGCCCGATGTGACAGTATGAGTACTTGTGGTGCCCAACCTTGGATTACAAGTCCTCTCCCTTTCGTTCTTTCCTCAAATCCATCTTCTTTCACCCATTTCTCTATCTTCTCTGCCTCGCTTCCGTCTCTTATAACCCACACAAATGGGTGTTGAGAAGCTTCCAAGCCTAAACCAATCCCAATTAACTCACGAAGGGAGAGGCCACTAATACTTCCAAGGCATGCATAGACCACAGACCCTGGATCTTGCTCATTGAGCCACTTCAAACACTAGCTTTCATCATTGGTGGCCTTGTTTCCTCTTTGAGCCTTGTCCAAGTTGTCTTTGTTACACAGTGATACCGGCCCAATGCACCAAACTTTATCTCCTTTAACCTTTCGAAACTGCTCAGCGTATCTGGGTTCTAGCTCTTCAAAACTATTAATCACCACTCCATATGATTCAACTTCAGCAGCTCGTACTCGCTCTTGGAAAGCTTTCCATTCCGGTGTACCTAGAGTGAACAATATAGATAGTTGAGCTTTAGTTAACTCAATCCTATCAGGCAAGTCAGGCAACTCAAACGGCTCTGACTCAGATATATTATCATGAAATTTGGAAATACATAAATTGTGTGAGCATAAGAGAGTGAGGCAGCTCATGCCATCAAAAATAATTCTTGGAATCTGGAACTTGCGACCAGTGTCGCCTACCCATCCAATATGTTTATCAGCTATTATACAACACGAAAATGGCTCGAGCGCTTCAAATAGCTGCTCGAATGGTTGTTGCAACATGCCAACGGCATAAAAAAAATTTATCAGTAGGTGTGGAGAGGTTAAGGTGTCTACAGTTTTGCACCCCTCTAGCCGGCCAGCCTCCACGGATGGGAACCTGATAGGAAGAAGCCAGAGGGCTAGTCCAGATTCGATTGCACGGTTGATGGTTGGGTGGAATCTTGAGACAATGACAGGGTTGGTGACAACAGTGACAGTCACACCGTGTTGTTCCAGTAATTTGGCCATGTCAATCATGGGGATGAAGTGGCCTGGGGACATTAGAGGTACTAAAACAAAGTGAAGTTGGTGCTTCTGAGAAGCCATTGCAGCTAGGAGTGGTGGGTGGTTGGATTGACTATTTTGGATCTATACAAATGAGTGTTTATGCTTGGCATTATTTTAGTGTTTATACAATCACGTCGAATTTTATGCAAAATGATTAATTTATAATTCAAATTTATTCTAATAGTAGAGTTTACAATACACAATCAAATCTCAACCACATTTTTTTTTTCTTTTTTTGGATAAGTTTCTTGAGCCAATATCTATGGCCCTTGGAGTTTTTGTAACGTTAGTGACATAAGGAACTACATAAGCATTGGATTTTTACGAATAAATATCTAGATATGCATGCAAGTTGCAAGAGTGCCTTAGCAAGATTAGGCATTTTCATGTCCCAAAAAAACGAAAAAGAAAAAAAGATTAGGCATTGTCAAACAGGGGTCTAGTTTGGGAGTCCAGATCATCTGTCGCACTTTCCTACGGTGCTCCATGTGGTGGTCCAAAACGACATTGTTTTGGACCCTTTTTTTCTTTTCTTTTCTTTTCTTTTCTTGTTTTCCTTTTTATCCTTATTTTCAATTTTGAACTCTAACCCCTTTCAGAGAGGAGAACTGAAAAGTGACGAACAGAGAGAGAGAGAGAGAGGACATGAACGGAGAGAGCTACGAGGGTGGGCGACGTGGTTTCTACAGCGAGGCGGCGGAGGCGAGGTGAGGTGAGGAGAGGCGGTGGTGAGGAGAGGGGAGGCGGTGAGAGACGAACAGAAGCGGTGATGCGAGGTGGCCGACCAACGTGACTCTTGTAGCAAGGCAATAGTGGCGATGTGAAGAGGGACGGCGATGACGACAAGGTCCGTTTTGTGGATATTTTGTTACTGATATATATATATATATATATATTTTTGTGGATATTTGCTATGGTTTGATTTATATGATTTCTTGTTATTCTTTCATCATTCATGTACCTTGTGAATGATAAAATGATGATTTGGGTTGTAAGTTTAGACGCCTTTGAAAGATTACAATATAGTTTCCTAATGAAGCTTATTCTAAATGTGCCATGAGAAATAGCATTCATGTGAACTATTATGTGTTTCTCTTTTTTCAAACTTCTTGGAGAATGTCAAAGTTAAGCTATTATTTACGTGTTTCTCTTTTTTCAAATAAAATTTTATAATGAAAACACATTCTTTTTGCTCTACTGGCCATTGACCCCTCTTCTTCTTCTTCAGGTAAATCTTAGTTCCTTTTTTATTTTTTCTTTTCTTTTCTTTACTTCTAACTTTGCTATGCTCCTCTTCTTCTTCATGTTGCTACTTTTTTTTCATGTTGGGGTAAGATTGTAAAAATAGTATAGATGTTGAATTTTGTTTTATCAGCTTTGATCTAAAGACTTTATTATGATGTTATTTATTTTGTAAAATGCTTCCCCAATGTTATGAAATCAATTAGAGTTTGCAACTTAATGAAAAAACTTTTGTCTATTATGATTAGATTTAATTTTCTTTCAGTGGGATCCAAATCTGCAGTTTTGCAACTCAAAAATCGATGACTAGATATCCACCACTTAATTTACAAATCATCTTTCATTGCTATTTTTTTTTTTAATTGGGGTTTTCTATGATGATATCAAAGTGCAAGTTTTGGTTGGATAGGAGAAAGAAAGAGTTCACATAGTCTTTCCTAGAAATCTTTTCTTTTCCCACTTGAAGGGTTTTTTCTTCTTCTGAAACACAAATGCTTACTTTTCTTTGTTGGCTTGTTCATAACTTTAACTGGGTGACTAGGTAGATTGTGTAAATTATTACAATTTACCTCAATATTTGTACAAATGTCAACTTCAAGTGTTAACGACAGTACCTCAAACCAATTGACATATTGCCACAAAAACTGTCCTAAATGTCGTAAAAAAACAACTATTCAAATTTCTGAGACAAAGCGAAACAAAAACAAATTATTTTATTGTTGTCATGATTGCAGTGGTTTTATTGGATGGTACTTGCCTACAAATTCACAATGTAGAGGTGAAGAAGAAGTGTAAATAGAAAATATGCCAACTCTCACCAAAAAGCTACAATTTATGACTGAACAACTTCAATTTCAAAGTGAACAACTTAAATTTCAAAGAGCGAAGATGCTTAAATTGGAAATAAACATAAATCGAAGTTCGGGTCATATTTATGGGTTCTTCATCTTGCTTGTAATTGGTATCGTATCAGTTATGAAGATTGAAAAATCTAGAAATCCCCTAGATGTTGATTTGTGATTATGTATCAATTTTAAGCAGAATATAACAATCCCAATCAAACAATCAAACAATCAAGACAAAGAGACACAAAGATTTTACGTCGAAAAAACCACAATTGGACACCTCCAACTGTGATCAAAAAACCACGGGCAACAGCCACAAGACAATCCACTAAGAAGAATTAAAGGAATTACACAGGTATACTCTCAATTACCTAGCGAATCCACAACGCCTAATTGAACCAACCTTTATGTGCCTCTTCCAACCCCATCTTCACCACGGAATTGTCTTTCTGATGAGCCACTCCGGATTCCACCAAAGCTTCAGGCTCGAATTCCTCAGAATACACAACTGAAGAACAACACTCTCTTTTGTAGAACAAAACACAACCTTTGATGTACTCTCTTTAGAACATGAGTTGAATACTCAATAAAACATCAAAGAAAACTCACAAAGTATCCCCAGATATAAACCCTAGAAACCAAAAAGAAGATCTGGAGAAGTTAAAAAGTAGATCTGGAGTAGTTCAATAATCCCACTAGGTTTGAGAGAAAACCAAGTATTTATAGAGAACCAAAAGTAATCCTAGATTGGGAAGAAAACCAACTCTTTAATCAAATCTGGAAATCTGGATCCGCGATCTCCGCTCGAGCTCATCATAGCCCGCTCGGGCAGACTGACCAAAAACTGTGTGCGAACAAACTGAGATGCGCTCGAGCGTAGGAGAATCCGCTCGAGCGTAAAATCACACCCACCAGTATTTTTTGCTTGCCCCGACAAAACACTGAGACCTGCTACGCTCGAGCTCACAAGGATCCGCTCGAGCGGACAGAACAAAAACAAAAAAAATTACATTTGAATCGACACAATGTTTTGTCTCCGGACAGGCAACTTGAAATGCATTTTTGCATTTTGCTTCGGGGGTGCTGCCCCTCGACCCCGCCGTGGCGCTGCCCCGGACCCGCCAAGGGGCGCTGCCCCCTCGACCCCCGCGAGCTGACCGGGCAGCTCGATCCCCGTCATAATCAGCGAAGTGGCAATCTTGAAAGCATTAGCATCACAAACTTCTCTGAATGGCACAATTCGGGTTGGATTCGCATCTAAACACTCATAGCCTCACTGAAATAAAAGTGCGAAAAGAAATACAACTGAAAGGAGTTTTGTCAAACGGGATTGCCAAGAATAAAACCTAACAAAGATGTAATATATATATATATATATATGCAAGTTAGAAGTAGAAGTAATGTATTGCTCTTTGTTTATGCATGTTTTCTATTTAGAGCAACAAATGTGACTCACTGTTTTGCAAGAATGTTGTTATTTAAAGCAAGTAACGTAGTCTACCTGTGGCATTGAGAAGGTGTAAAAACTTGGAGTTTGATTATTATGCATATATTGTGTTTAGAAGTTGATTGTTATGCATGTGTTGCTTACTTTTAATGCTATGTAGTTTACCTGTTGGTTGCTAACTAGGAGAGCCTCTTGCGGTCTCAGGGGGAAGATGATGACAGTGTAAAAATGCCATCACCATAAACACCAAAGAATTCAAAGACCATAGTCAGCAGAGGATAGATCATCATTAGTATCATTTGGAAAGCAAACATCTTAGTAGACTGCTTAGAGAATTTGTTAAATTTGAACAAGGGAATGATCTTACAAGGTCTAAAATATCAAAGAACACATACATACTGAACAATGCCAATTTTAACAACTTGATAGAACTTAGAACCAATATGCCACTCCTTTAGCAAGCAATTTAGTGAGAAAGGATGTTCTACCGCCCCATAAGCATAAGATTCTTCCAAAAGAGGTATGTTGGAAGAAGTATTAAGGCTTTGACCCTCCACGAATTCAATTTTTTTTTGCTCACCACTTTTAAGTAATAATACATTTGTCAAAAACACGCTGCTGAAATTCCATCAAGGGCACCAAAATATTACAGATAATTGACGAAAAGCTTTTATAAATAGACAAAATTTCAAGGTCAACAAATAAAATAAAAGGCTAGCAAGGTAACAAGAATAAAAGGCTAACTTGTGTAATACAAGTTTGTCAATCAATCCATGATAATAATGTCAACCATAACAAATTTAATATGGTATATACCCATTTTACTTTCCAAACATTGTTCCCATTACAAAAAAATAACATCAAAAAAGACTGAAAAACATTAAAAAAAACAAAAAAAAAGACCACAATCTAAAAAGATAACAACATCATCATTTAGTGCAAGCCTTTTAGGGATGTCCATCTATATGATTGTCAGCAGAACTATGTGAGGCTTTCAACACTTGGATTGTAAAAGGTTATGATTATGATGTTCAACAATATCACAAGCAACATATTTTCTTAAATTTCTATCTAACTTGATACTAAATCGAGCACCACAACCACATCTCACCTCTTGACTCAAAAATTTTACTAGTGGATCTCGCTTGTCAATACCCTGCCTTCCCTCTTTATAACATACAAAAGTCCGTGAAGTTATTTCCTTAGTATGTTTATTCTTGTGTGCATACGCCTTCCTAATACTAAAGCCCACCTTTCCAGCACAGGTATTGTAAAAATCATACGCAACTTGTTTAGAGTCAAATGACATGCTCAATTTCGACTTCCAACCACAATTGGCTAATTAATCAACAACATTATTTTCTTCCATTACCTGCAATTCAATAATAATAATAATAATAATAATAATAATAATAATAATAATAATAATAATAATAATAATAAACAAAAATTGAATAATGTACTTAAAGTAAATAGGCTTGGGATATTGTTAGTCTGAAAAGCTA